ATCCAAAACCCCAAAACCCCAAAACCCCAAAACCCCATCAAATCCCACCAAAATTGAACCCTGTTTCCTAAAATTCACCCCTAAATTCCACCTTCCCCACACAAATCCCTCTCAAAATCCACACCCCAACCATGTCCAAACTTCAATTACCCAAAAATTCCCCAGCCAAGGCCCCTCCCTCCCCAGCCAAAAGTCCAAAATCCAAGGATTTCCTTAAGGAAATCCAGCATTTGAACCAAACGCTCCACTCCCGCAAGCAGGGACTGGAGGCTCGCCAGCTAGAACTCACTCAGGAAATACAGCTGTGGACTAATCTACTGGCCGTGCCTGAAGTCTTGCTTGCACGGCTTGTGAAGGAGAAGGGCTGCAAGAGTAATCTAGGTGAGGCACTGGGAAGGGAGAGGAAGGAAGTAGGCGAGCTAGGCAAATGACTGAAGCAGATGAAGGAGGTGAGAAGGGATTTAAGTGGGGAAAGTAGGAAGAGACAGAAGAAAGAGGAGGAGAAGAAGCAGGAAGTGAAGGTACAGATGTCAGGAGGGAATGGAATGCAGCCGTATATGTTGCCCAATGGGTATAGAGGGCCTGAGACTATGGGAAATGGATATATGGGGATGGGATATGCTAATGGATATAAGTACCCTGAAATTAATCAAAATTCTAGCCGTGATGTTTTTAACCAAAAGATGCAAAATCCAGAGCTACCTTTTCAGAATATCCAAAATCCTGAGACTAATACAAAGCTTGGAGATGAAGATCTCGTACAGCTTAATGAAAGTAAAGGTTTAGTCAAAACTGAGAAAGATAATCCCTCTGAACTTGATACAGGAAAAATGCGAGAAGATTCCATATTTGCTTGTTCTCAAGTTAAACAAGAATCTGATGATGACCTTTTTGCAGATTATCAAAATGATACAAAAATGGAATCTGAAGATGACATCTTTGGAGATCATAATTCCCAGCCTGAAGCTACTAGTGAAGCTTTAGATGGAAAAGATAAAGAAATTCCTGGAATTATTAGTGGAAGCCAACAAACTGATTATAACGAAGATTTTGATTTGTTAGATGATTTTGAAACAAAGAAATCCCAAAATTTGTATGATTCTAATTCTTCAGGAATGGATAACGCATCTCTTTACCCCCAAGGACCTCCTGGAGGCACTTTATTTCCCCAACAACCTCCTCCAATGTGAGATCAATTTATGGGCGGGCATAACTACATGATGCCTCATTCTTCACCATACGATATGCCTCCTGGAGCACCCTTCATGAACTATAATTTTATCAAATCTGAAGGAAACATGTTTAAAACTGAAGGGAACTACATGATGGGCAACCAAGGCTTGAAGCAGGACAGCTTCGGTGGCATGCCTTACATAAAGCAAGAAGTGCCACCTCAAAAGCCTCATAAGACTAAGGGCAAGAGGAACAAATACAAGATGATTCCTACTGAGATGAAAAGGAAGGCAGTCAAACTTGCTCATTCTAAAGGTGCCAAATTTGCTTCCTCATTCTATAAAGTCGCCTCTAAGAGCCTCAAACGATGGATGAAGGTTGGCTGCGAGCGCAAGAAAGGAGGAGGACGCAAGACTAAGGACCCAAAGATGGAAAAGGAGCTATATGCTTGGTACCTTAACAAGAAACACCAAGGAATACCTGTTACTGCAAAAATGGTCAAAGATAAAGCAATTGATCTAAAAAATTGTGATGACTTTATTGCTTCAAAAGGATGGCTAGACAAGTTTAAGATTCGATTTAATCTTGAGATATCCAAGGAAACTAATAGAGATGGTTACAAACGAAGCGCCAAGAACGCAGAAGCTGCTATCCGAAAGCGAGGGAAAAGTACCCTCCCTCCAAAATTAATCTCAGCTGATCAAAGTAGCAAATCTGAAGATTTTGACTCTAAAAGTTCTGCTCAAAAGTCTAGCTACCAAGATGAATTCCTGGATACTGAAGGGGATAAGATCAGTCAAGAGCAGAACAAAATCCACGTCCAGCCTGAAAAGAAAGCATGGGGTCACAAGAGGTCTGCTTCCCACAAGAATAGGTTTGATGAGGCTTCTTTCCCAGATGGGCGGGGGACTGGTATTGGGTCATTGTTCCCTCCTTCCGATAATGAGGGCCCATTTGATATTTAGGTGAATTTGATAAATTGTTTATTTCAGTGGATTTTTGTAAAATTGGGGTTTTGGGGTTTTGGGGTTTTGGGGTTTTGGGGTTTTGGGG